TTGATCTAAGGTTGTGTTTTTCACTGTTTGTCTTGTCTAGTACACACATACACAGAGAGAGAGAGAGGAGAAGGATATTTAATGAGGAGTAATTTGGTCTTCCCGATCATTTAGCGACACGTGGCACTCAGATGATACCTCAACACTAAACCAGTAGACCAGTTCGGTAAATTAGCTTGGAGCACCTCGCTAAGGCCAACCTTCACCTCGGTGCCGCCGAGTTGGCAAAGCCATAAGATTACGACAACCTGTCCTAGAAACCAGCCGAGCTGAGAGGACCCTGAGTGACTTGCGAGGAAGAGCTCGCTAACCGTCCCCATCAGTTTGCCACCAAAGGCGCCAACAACGCGACCATTAGAACGACTCACTGAGTCGTCGCCTCGACTTCACTTGGACGAATTGTAACTCCTGCAAAGATCTCTCTCAACTAACACCTTTATGCGTCTGAAAATATGGAAACTGCTCCACAAAGAGCTCAAGACTGTTACCCTAAGCCCCTTGAGTCCAGGGACCTATATAAGGCGTCCAAATCCACCCAGAAAGGTATGTACACTAATACTCACAATCTCCCTCACAATCTCAAAGAATCTCCATTCACCTACTGACTTATGCATCAGAGGGCCCTCCCCGAGTAAAAGATACCTAGGCACTCTCACCTTCTTTCTATCGTCTATAGCACGCTTCAGCTCGAACACATCAGCATTAGCTCGGCTTAGCGAACCTCCACATTAGAGTCTGAGTTGTCTGCCATGAGGGAGCATCTAGATTGAGCGACATCAATACCCATCACCCATCAATATTAAAATAATAAAAAAAAACTTATTGATGGATGCTCCTTGGATACCCATTAGCCATCCTGCCCAACACATTAAAATTATTTTTGTTAGGTTGGCGCATCCACTAAGGACCCGGGACTAAAAAGTAGGACCCAACCCACTAATAAATGGGTGGGTTGGTTTGAAAATTACCACCACTAGGTACAGAGACCGCTCTTGTGTAATGGAGATGGAGCTCACATCGTTTATATCCAAGATGCAGAAAAAAAAAACTTTACAACCACCAATAAAAATCCTCACATCACTTACAACCAGGATGCAGAAAAAACTCTTCAACCACCAATAAAAATCCACCATGTCACTTAATGTAACTGAGCAGTGGAAAGGTAATTATGAACAACCATTATAAACAACTTTGAGTGCTTATTATCTAAAATAGTGCTTATTAAATAAGCAGTAGTTTATGAGTTTTTGGTGAAAATGTACTCCTTTCAATGAGGTAGTTTAAATTTTGATTATTGAGGTAGCGGGCCAAGATGGGCCAAAAACACAATAAACCAGTGTTTTCAGCCAATGTTCAAAATTTCGTCACATATCGGCCGATACGTATCGGTTTTTTGACTTACCGGCATGAGAGATGGTCCTAAATCGAATGTACCATCTCTTTTCATCGTGCCGAAACAGTATCAACTTCGTATCGGGCTGGTATCAGCCCGTTTCGATATATTTCGGCTGAGTATCAGCCGATACGCGACCACTTCACTGTTACAAATAGAATAGCCTTCGAAAGAGGGCTTCTAAACCCATTTCAGAATCCCTCTTTCTTCCCCAAACCCTTCGGAAACTTTCTTTACATTCCTAGAAACTCAAATCTAGAAAAAATCCATCAAAACACTTACAAAATTGAAAGATTGAACAAGTTTTTCAAGGTTGTTTAAAAAGTAGCGAAAATATTATTTTTTTCAATTTTTTTTTTACATTTTCAGCCAATGTTTTTGTTTTTTTTTTTTAGTTTGGATGCTTGAAAACATCTTTATGTATGTTGATCTTCTATTCTTGTGCAAAAAATCTCACTTATTTTGCTGCTTTATGTAAATCTTTGTGAATATTTGAAGAAATTCCAGAATAATAAAAAATCTGAAAAATGAAATTTGTAGGTTTTTCTTTTGATCTACCTCTAGAAATTGGTTATGTTGTAAATCTATGGATGGTCTACATTGTCCATAGATCAAATGAATTTTTTCTAAATAATTGATTTTTTTTATTTTTGGAATAATATATATATATATATATATAATTTCTTTAATTTTATATGGTCTAACCCTATAGGCTGAGTATGATGTAGATTTAAGGATGATCTACCATGTCAATAGATTAATTGATTTTTTTTTTATAAATAATTGATTTTTTCTATATATTTTTCAATTTTTAGAATAAAAAAATATTTATAATTTCTTTAAATTTATGTAATTTAACCCTATAGGCTGAGTATGTTGTAGATCTATGGATGATCTACCATGTCCATTGATCAAATTCATTCAATTTTTCTGTTACATATTTACTTTTCTTAATTTTAATTTAAATTTTAGAATAAAACATGAAAAAATAATTATTTGAATAAAAATAAATAATTATTTAGTTTTTAGAAAATTAGAATGAAACATGAAAAATAATTACTTGATCTATTATGTCCATAAACCCATTCAATTTTTCTGTTACATATTTACTTTTCCTAATTTTAATTTAATTTTTAGAATAAAAAGCAAAATAATTATTTGAATATATAAAAATAAATAACTATTCAGTTTTTAGAAAATTAGAATGAAACATGCAAAATAATTACTTGATATATTATGTCTATAAATCCATTCCATTTTTCTGTTACATATTTACTTTTCTTAATTATAATTTAATATTTAGAATAAAACATCCAAAATAATTATTTCAATAAAAATATATAATTATTCAGTTTTTAGAAAATTAGAATGAAACATGCAAGATAATTACTTGATCTATTATGTCCATAAATCCATTCAATTTTTCTGTTACATATTTACTTTTCTTAATTTTAATTTAATATTTAGAATAAAACATCCAAAATAATTATTTGAATAAAAATAAATAATTATTCAGTTTTTAGAAAATTAGAATGAAACAAGCAAAATAGTTACTTGATCTATTATGTCCATAAATCCATTCAATTTTTTCTTTTATATATTTACTTTTCTTATTTTTAATTTAATTTTTAGAATAAAACATCCAAAATAATTATTTGAATAAAAATAAATAATTGTTCAGTTTTTAGAAAATTAGAATGAAACATGCAAAATAACTACTTGATCTATTATCTCCATAAATTCATTCAAATTTTCTGTTACATATTTACTTTTCTTAATTTTAATTTAATTTTTAGAATAAGTTAATAAAAATCCAAAATAAATATTTGAATAAAAACAAAAAATTATTTATTTTTTAGAGAATTAGAATGAAACATGCAAAATAATTACTTGACCCATTATGTCCATAGATCTATTCAATTTTGCTATTACATATATACTTTTTTAATTTTAATTTAATTTTTAGAATAAAACAAGCAAACACATTAGAACTGAATTGAGTACTTTATTAAATAATATGTTTTTGTTCCCGTATATTGATTATAATATGTTTTTTTTTTCATAAAACCCACTAAAACATGTTATTTTTATGCATAATTAGCCCATTTATGTCTTATATTTAGTGATATTGATGTTTATTTATGATTTATTGGAGTATTTATAACATTTCCATGCGTATCTTAATTTTTCATTCGTATCTATGCATATCCAAGGCGTATCCTGATTCGTCTCTTAAATTTGCCTTTTCAATATGCATAGCATTTCTGATACTTTGAACCTTGTTTTATGCATTCTACATTATCCAACACCCAATAGGCCAAGATGATGCCATGTCATTGCACCACTAGCGTCAATGGGTTGTTTTATGGGAAAACATTGAGTTTGGTGTTTCTTCATTTCAAACTTTTATGATTTTCAAGGTGTGGTCTAGAGCAACAATCTTTTTCTCGAAAAATGGTACCAAATAAAATGCCGCTTTCTAAAGCACCACTTTTTCTGATGCGATGCCTATGTGGCATTATTTTCTAAAAAAATGACATCGATGCCAAACACCGCCTAGAGATATCATGCTTTTCCAATATCATAACCAAACCCATATAAATCCAACATAATGCTTTCTCCAATTCCATCATGCTTTTCCATTATCATAATCGAACCCATATAAATCCAACATAATACTTTCTCCGATTCGATTGCAATCCAAATTCGATTCCAACCGATATAAAACTAGGTGAGCAAATGGATCGGATCATGATCTGATCCAATCCGAGATCCAATCCTATTTGGTTGAATTCAGATCACCCCTGGTCGAATATTCAGATCACCCTTATCCGATTCGAGAAGATCCAATCCGATGTATTATATATTTATAAATATATATGTTATTTATTTATTTATTTATAAATACATTATTTATATTATTTTTTTATAAAATTGTTATATTATTTATTTTTTTATAAAAAAATGTATATATATGACGAAAATAATTAAAAAAATACTTGTATTTTTGTTTTTTTCTTTATTTAAATTGATATATTTTATTTTTTTCTTTTAATAATTTATTAATTTTTAAAGAAAACAAGTCGGGTCAAATAAGATCAGATAAGATTCAAGAGTTCAGATCGACTCCTACTAGGGATTTGACATGAATAGTGCCTAATCGGATTTGAATATGCCCTGATTCAAATCCGATCTGATCCGTTTGCATCCCTATATAAAACTGACATCGATTTGATTCCCGAATGCATGGTTCAAAGTATCAATACAATATGCCCCGTATCGGGCATATCGTATTGTATCTTTTGAAAACGATACTGTCCGAAATGCCTGTTTTCAGGTGTTTTAGACCCCCAATTTTTTAATAATAAAAAGCATGCTAAAAGCTTTCCAAAAAACCAAAATTTGAAAAAAAAAATAGAGTTTCGGCCGTTTCTAAGTGCCGATACGATACGGCCGAAACTCGTATCGTATCGATAACGCCCGAATGTAAACAAATCAAATTCGGATTGCATATATGGATTTTCCCCTTTTGCAGCACTGACCCGATAACGCCCGATGCGATGTCATACGGTCATATACCCAAATCAAGGTTTCGATATCCAAAGTAACCATGTGCAACCCGGGTTCTCACTTCTCAGCACTTCCGTTCCGTAGGAGTTACCTGCTTGCTTGATCACCATCGTCATCGTCGGCTGTCCACGGTGGGCGGTTGATGCGCCGGATTGCCATTGGCGACTCGCATTGGAGAACTGCCATTTTCTTAATCTTAGTGAAACGATTAACGAAGTACCGAACCCTCATCTAAACGAACTCTACTCTTCTCAGCAGATAAACCAGAAATGGCGAATCAATCCATGAAGCGTTTCTTCCATCATCTAGGTAAGCTATATATAGAGCTATTGTTCTATTAGAATTTGTATGAAGAAGTTCTTCTGGGGTTTTATGAGACTGTAGGTTCTGCTCACATTTCAAATCCTGTTTGTAATATTTTCATCTCTATGCCCTCGAATTTTATTGCTTGAGTATTTGCATTAAACTTGTATTTCCGGTTCCTTTTCTATCAGTTCCTCTTTTCCAGATTAGTCTATTGCTGGTACTTTGTTTTTGTGTCATTTATCTAGTTTAAAAATTGTAGGGCTAGAGTGCTTGAGTTTACCTAAACTGATGGCTGGCTGCTTGTATTTTGATTTTTGGGATCAATTTTCTTTTCTTTATTGCACAGGTTTTAGTATAAATATGCTAAAAAAGCAGGAGTCGTATAAGCGTTTTGCATATAAGGTTCTTGTTCGGTGTCAATCACAATCGTCAGAAACGGATAAAGCGGAAACTGACGGTTCGAGAGAGGGGAAGGATGTATCGCGAGTTCCGGTAATGCCTAATCTGAATAAGCAGATAAATTATGATTCGAGAATCAGCAAGTACAGTTCTGATGAAGAGAATTTGAATGATAACAAGCGGAAGTTAGAAGTTGATTGGATCATGAAAGCTCTTGAACCAGCTGTGCAGTTGTACAGGTGGGCTCTGCCAACAGGTCTGTCACTTTCTAGTCATGTATCTTTCCATATTATATTGCTTATGATTGATATGCTTCAAGTATTTAGAGGATGACTACAAATATTTTGGCATAACGGCTAGAAATTGCAGGGTAGTTTTCGTGTTGAAGAGAAATCACATTAAAACATGAGAGTAAGCAACCATTCGTGCCTGATGCAATTAATCCATGCACCTGCTGAAAATCAAGACATTTAAGCCATCCTTTTATTTTATTTTGTTTAGTTTTAATGAAACTTCTATTAATTAATAAATACTTATTGGATTTTTTGGTTTCATGAGATGGGTCAGATTGTCCTTGAGCAAGAGTACCTACTCGGTTGTGGTTGTGTGCATGAGTTGCACATGAAGGAGACTCAAGCTCAATTCCTATGAACTTGTATTCTTTCACGGTTTGGTAGAGGTTGGACAATTCACTAAGTTAAAAAGATTGTTTATGTGTGACACCTCTATAAGATAGGGTAAAAGTCTCAATCACTTGAGTGAAGACCCAGGGTCTACACATAGGTGTAGCAGAGATTACATTAAACAAATCCACTAATAATTATATATAATGTGATCTATTCTAGAGAAAATCTTTTCTCACCTATATCCCTGGACCTAAGAGGGCTATGTCAATCTGGAGGTTATGTTGTCAACCTTGAGTTGCTTAACCAATGAGATCAATCTTGACCAATATCTGAGTGAATTGTTTCTCTATTCTAGAAAAAATATTTTCTCACCTATATCCCTGGACCTAAGAGGGCTATGTCAATATGGATGTTATGTTGTCAACCTTGAGTTGCTTACCCAATGAGATCAATCTTTGACCAATACCTGAGTAGTTTGGTTTGATGGTGTAGTGCCCTAGAGTGAATTATTTCTCAACAAGGAATTCATTATTTGGTTTCCAGGGAATATCCATCTGAGCCCATGAGGTTTAAATAATATTTGGAAAAACATATCTGGATCCAGTGGTTTGCAAAGAGTTTGTGAAATGATTTTTCTAAATTATAACTATAAAAGTATATATTAGATACTATATTTCAAAGTTGGATTGCACTCAGAAAAGGTTTTCTTTGACCAAATATAATACCCAAGGACTGATTTGTAAATAACTGGGATTGGAAAGCATAGTAGTATCTAATTGGGATATTGAAGAATGAAGTGATATTACAGCTAAAAGAATTTAGTAGGAAAGGATTAAATTTCAAAAATTTGGGAGTTCAATTTATAATTCCGATAATGGATCCAATTGCAATTAAAGAAAGTTGTTTGATTTCCCAGTTAGAGGCAATTTCTAATTAATGCATGCAAGGAACAGAAAAATTAGAAGTTTGATTGCTTAAGCTTCTATAGAGATTAGAATCTTCTTTTTTTAGCTTGGTAAGTTGGAATCCTGGATGCTTCTCTAAGGCTCACTGTGTAGCTGGTGTGTATAGAATCAGAAAAATTATAGGTAATTGCCAGACACTTTCTTCTAACAGAACTGAAATTCATATGATCACTTCTTGCCAACCAAAAGTACAACAATGGTTGCTGTTATTTTTCATGAGAAAATTGATTTTAAAAACTTTGTTTTTGTTCTTCCCAACTTTCACATTACTCATCACAAAAGAAAAAGAGGCTTGCACTTTGGCACACATGGGTTCCTCAGGTCTCTTTTTCTCTCCACAAGACCAATTTAGTATTCACATTTTGCAGGGAATAATGATGGGCAAAACTCCCCTTCTAGTAGTCGATCTTTTACAGAGATTGTTGCACACATTCAGCGGAGTAAGGTTGGGATTCAGGACTGGAGCCTGAGTGATCTTACAGTAGGTCTCTTTCTTGTCTATCTTCGTCAAGCAGCTGCTGGCCTGGTGGAAGATGTGAAGGGTGTTCAGATCTCATCTGAATCTATAGTAATTACTTGAATCTGTACCATTTGTACAATAGTTATACTTACTCATGATGAACAAAATATCTCATAGTGCTAACTTAAGCTGATATGGGAACATTTATTACTCTAGAAATTTCAATCACTATTCTTCATCTGAAATATTTAATGCTCAGAGATTTATGTAACTTGTAGTTTTGTAATATTATTAGGTTCAAGAGCTCATCTATCACATTGAACTGGCAAAAGGGGCGTATAAGGAAAATGCTGCAAGTCTTGCACGGCACAGCATGCTTCGAGAAAAGAACATTTTGAAGTTTGTTAAAAATTCCAATGTGATGCGGCCTGGATATTATATAGGCATTGACACCCGCTACAAACTTGTAGTTCTTGGAATACGTGGAACTCATACTGTGTATGACCTGATAACTGATATTGTTTCTTCAAGTGAGAAAGAAATGACATTTGAAGGCTACTCAACCCACTTTGGTACAACTGAAGCTGCTCGCTGGTTTCTTCATCATGAGGTTGGAACATTAAGAAAATGCTTGGAGAAACATGAGGTGGGTAGAGATGTGACCTTATCTTCTGGACAATCCAGTTTTATGATGTATCTGGTAGACCTGTATTTATTAGGACATATGTTTTCATTGTTTCGGTGAGCCTAATATATCTACAGGGATTTAGGTTGAGGCTGGTTGGGCATTCTCTTGGCGGTGCTACAGCTTCATTACTTGCAATAATGCTACGTAAAAAGTCACAGGAGGAGTTGGGTTTTAGTCCTGATATTGTCTCTGCCATTGGGATTGCAACACCACCTTGTGTCTCTAAAGAACTTGCTGAAAGTTGCTGCAGTTATGTTTCAACTATTGTCTTACAGGTATATGGATTCATTCAAAGACTTGTATAAGACAAGTTAATTTGTTTGTTATGTCTAGTTGCTCAAATTTTTTCATTTTTCTGTTCCATTTGCAGGATGATATAATTCCTAGGTTAAGCGTAGCTTCCTTGACAAGGTTGAGGAATGAAATTTTTCAAACCAATTGGTAAGAAGTACAGCATTGGAATATGGTGTTGACTACGTAAAAGCATGTTATTAAAATATATGCATCAGAATGATTCAACACTCATGTACACCAAAGCATTGTACAATGGGAATGTACAAAAAGTAACAATATAAAGAAAATGATTGTTCACAAATAAACTTTCCAAGTCAGGAAAGAATTACAAGGAGCCCCTTGAAAAAGACTTGTGCATTGTCTGTGAGGGGCATCAAAATGCTATTGACCTTCCTTACTACTATTTCATCAGTATTGATTCTATTTTCAAAGATGTGTAATTCCTTTCACCCCAGATACCCTAAAATTGCAAGAGGCGTCATGTCTCAAAATATTTTACCTCTTCTACTCAAATCCTTCAGATATCAGCAATGGGAGAAAAAGCTTCAACAGAAGCTGGGAAGTACCCTTTCATGCCAAAGATTCCTAAGAACTTGGCCTACATCTAGCTGATGATTTGACAGTGAAGGAAAAGGTGATTAGCAGATTGTGGACATGTTGCACATAGTACACAATCACTGTTGGCAAATTCCAATACCATACCCCTCCTTATGTGGTCTTCCAAATTAATTTTGAAGGTTAAGTGCATTATGGAAATATATAGAGTGCTAGAAGTTTTAGTTATGGGGATAATTTCTTTATCCATACCAATGTTTTAAAACGCGGAGGCGTGACACAAGGCGTTCCACTACCTAGAGGCGTGGGGCGTAGTTCAGAACACGAGGCATAAGCCTCCCAAACACAAGGAGGTGCAAGCCTCCTTAAGAGGAGGGGTGTTATGGGCCCGGGCATAGGATCTCGTCACGGGTCGGTCCACGGGGAGAACCTCTAGCTTCCCCTTGCGCCTCCCTTTGCGTGCAAACCCTATCATGGCGAACTAAGGGTGATTTGTTCAAGAGATCACCCTAACTCTCTTAAACTCTTTCTTGACTGAAAACTGAATGCTTTATTCTCAATTTGCAACTCCTTAAATAGGAGATTACAGGAGGTGTGGGAAGATGCCCAGTAGAATTCGACTACTCACAGATAAGGATAAATCACACTTTTAAGATCAAACAGACTCCCTACTTCTAATAGGTAAATCAAACTCTAGAAGATAAGGAAAACTACTAAGAATAAGATAAGATGAGCTGAGAACTAATGAGATAAGCTGCCGCCTTGTGGGCCCCTCCTCACTGCTGCTGTTGGCGGCTGTACGTCCTCCCTACGAACGCATCCACAACATTACACCCCTCCTGGGCGACGAGCTTGTCCCCAATCTCGAGATCTGGGTAGGCGTCTTGCAGGACAGTTCAAGGAATCCAGGTGGCCTCAGCTGATGGTAGGTCGTCCCATTCCACTAGGACTTCGAGAGTACCCTGATTGGCGGGGGATCGAACCAGAGCCCGAGGTTGTAGAATGGGTCTGCCGTCTCTTAAGGGCGGAAGGGAAGGTACCTCATCAGGAGGGGTTCCTATAAATGGCTTGAGCAAGGACACATGGAAGGTATCATGGAGTTTGCTGTGTTCTGGTAGCTCAAGCTGATATGCAACTTTCCCGATTCGCCGTAATACCTTGAAGGATTCGTAAAACTTGGGGGCCAGTTTCGGGGGAGATCTACCTTTGAGAGAGTGTTGTCGATACGGTTGGAGCTTCAACCACACGAACTGTCCGGGCTTGAAAGTTAATTCTCTGTGGCGCTGATCGTAGACATTCTTCATGCGTGTTTGAGCCTGCTGTAAGCAGAGAGTGACTTCCGCCAGGAGGGCATCGCGATCTTGTAGACTACGATCGACTTCTTCCAGCCGTGTCGAACCGGGCTCGTAGGACAGTAGGTGGGGGGGTTCTCGACCATAGACAACCTGGAATGGAGTCATGCCAAGAGAGGAGTGATAGGCCGTGTTGTAGTAGTATTCGGTCCATGGAAGGCAATCCACCCAATGCCGTGGTTGGTCACCCACAAAACAGCGGAGGTACATCTCTATGGTACGGTTTACGACCTCCGTTTGGTCGTCTGTCTGCGGATGGTAGGCGGATGAAAAAGCTAGGGTCGTACCCTGCAATCAAAATAGCTCCTTCCAGAAGGTGCTGGTAAAGACCGGGTCCCTGTCACTGACGATGGACTCGGGTAGCCCATGCAAGCGAAAATATGTGTGAAGAAGACGTGGGCAACCGAAACTGCGTTATATGGGTGGGATAAGGGAATGAAATGGGCATACTTGGAGAAACGATCCACCACCACGAATAAGACTGATTTCCCGCCGACCTTGGGCAAGCCCTCAATTAAGTCCATGGAGATATTAGCCCAGATCTGTGTTGGAAGTGAAAGAGGCTGGAGGAGGCCTGCCGGGTGTAAATTTTCCCATTTTTGTTGTTGACACAYGGAGCAATTCTGGATGAAATCCCAAATCGAAGCCCGCATACCATGCCAATGGAAATCGGTGCGGACGCAGTGCAACGTCTTCTGAACCCCTTCATGTGTGGCGTTATGAATGCTGGAGATGACAGCGGGAATTAATGGACAATCGATCGAAAGATATACCCGTCCCTTGTATAGTACTAGTCCATCGTGGATGGACCAGTTCGGGTTGGTTGCTCTGGACTGTATCTCTTGAACCAGGTCCCTCCATTCTGGTGATTGGGGCAGCACACTCCTAATGCTTTCCAATAGGGTGACGCGGGGCTGGGAGATTGCACAAAGGTGTATAGCATCTTCATCACGCTTGGACAGTGCATCCGTGGCCCGATTTAAGGTCCCTGCCTTGTGGTCTACTCGGAAGTCAAACCCGAGCAGTTTACTTGCCCAATGCTGTTGGGGTGGATTGGTAAGCCGCTGCTCTAGTAGGTACTTGAGACTGTAGTGGTCCGTTTTGACGACGAAGGGTCTCCCCCACAAGTATGGCCTCCAGTGTTGTACGGCCTTGGCTAGTCCAATCAACTCGCGCTCGTAGGCCGGTAGCTTTAGGTGTCGGTCAACTAATTTGCGGCTAAAGAAGGCTATGGGGTGCCCTTGCTGTTGTAGTACTGCTCCAATGCCTATATCGGAAGCATCACATTCAACCGTAAATTCCAGGTCAAAGTTTGGTAACTGCAGCACTGGGGTGGAGGAGAGTGCATCCCTTAAGTTTGTGAAGGCGGCGTCCGCTGCTTCATTCCACTGGAGTGCGTTCTTCTTCAGCATCTTGGTTAATGGGGCAACCAAGAGTCCGTAATCCCTTACAAACTTGCGGTAATATCCGGTGAGTCCTAAGAACCCGCGGAGAGCCCTAGTGGACTGAGGTTTGGGCCATTCTTGAATTGCTTAGATCTTGGAGCCATCTACCGAGACACCTTTCCCGCTGATTATATGTCCCAGATAAAGGACCTGTCGCTCCCTGAAGGAACATTTGGCCCGCTTCAGGAATAGTTTGTGTTGGCGCAGTAGCTCCAAAATAGTTCGTAGATGACGAACGTGCTCCACCCATGATGTACTGTAAACCAGGATATCATCGAAAAATACTAGGACGAATTTGCGGAGGTGGGGTCGAAATACCTCATTCATCAAAGACCGAAATGTGGATGGAGCGTTGGTGAGGCCAAACGGCATGACCAAAAATTCGAAGTGGCCATGATGCGTCTGGAATGCTGTTTTTTCCACATCCTCGGGGGCCATCCGGACCTGAAAGTACCCTAATCTGAGATCCAGCTTTGAGAAGTATTGAGACCCGTGGAGTTCATCTAGCAGTTCGTCTACCACGGGAATCGAGAATTTGTCCTTGACAGTTCTGTTGTTAAGTTCCCTGTAATCCACACAAAACCTCCAGGTGCTGTCTTGTTTTGGTACCAATAAGACCGGCGAAGAGAAGGGGGAGCGGCTAGGGCGGATGATTCCTTGTTTCAACATTTCTGCACACTGTCTCGCTATCTCATCTTTTTGCAGGTGCGGGTAGCGGTATGGCCGGACGGCGACAGGTTCTGAACCTGGGGTTAAAGGAATCCGATGGCCACACGATCGGACAGGTGGGAGTCCCTTGGGTTCTGAAAACACGTCCGGGAAGTCGGTGAGAAGTCTCTTCATCTCTGCGGTGTGCATGGCATCGCCATGGAGAGTATGCACCTGCGGTCTTTTCGCCCTTACCCTGGTTCCTTGCCAGGTGACTTGTTTTCCATTCAGGTTGAATGTCATGGTCAGGGCACTGAAGTCCCATAGGATAGGGCCTAGAGTGATGAGCCACTTGACTCCAAGCACTATATCAAACTCGTCCAGGGGTAGTACAAATAAATCAGCGGAGAAGGGTTCGGATTCGACTTGTATTTGGATGTTCCGGCAGATTCCAGGGCTGTGAACTCTCTCCCCATTTGCGACGGCTACTTGAAGTTGCGGTCTGCCTTCCACCGGCAGTTTCAGTTGAAGTGCCACTTGCTTGCTGATAAAATTGTGTGTGTTTCCCGAGTCCACCAGAATACGTACTGGCTTCCCTGCCACCTGTGCCCGCAGCTGCATGGTTTGGGAGTTATGTATTCCGGTGATGGCATGGAGGGAGATCTCAGGTTCTAGTGCTGTATGCTCCTCCTCGTCTTCTTCCAGTTCGTCTACCAAGAGGCAGAATAACCGCTTGCATCGGTGCCCGGCTGAGTACAGCTCGTCGCAGTTGAAGCATTGACCTCTTGCCCGGCGCTCCGCCATCTCAGCTCTAGATAAGCGTTTGATGGGAGGTGCCGTCATGTTGCTTCCTATGCTGGGTGCCGATCTGGAAGTGTTACCTGTGTGAAGCCGTTGTTCCCTGCTGGCTGCCAACGAAGACCCTCCTCCAGTTGATTTCAGGTTTGCCCAAGAAGTCGCTGAACGCCCCATGCTGAAAGACCCTCGGCTGATCTGTAGCTTGCGCTCAAAAGCGCGGGCTAAGTTCATTGCAGTGACCAGGTTGGGAGGACTCTGCATCTCTACATCGACTCTCAGAGGTTCGGCTAGTCTAGCGGTGAACATATCCACCTGCTGATCTGGGCGTACTAAAGAGGCTCTGGCGAGAAGAGTTTGAAATTGCCGCTGGTACTCGACTACGGTCCCGATCTGCTTGAGGTTAATTAACTCTCCCAATGGGTTGCTTGTTAATGGGGGTCCAAATCGAAGGAGGCAGTAGGACTTGAACTGGTCCCAATTGAGTCCTGGTTCCTCCTGCTCTACCCGGTAGAACCAGAGTTGTGCTTCGTCTGTCATATGAAACGCGACCAAACTGACCTTATCCTTTTCCTCCGTGCGCTGATTACGAAAGAATTGCTCGTAGTGGTACAACCATCCCAGTGGGTCGCCGCTGCCGCTGTATGAGGGAAACTCCAGCCGACTGTACTTGGGTATGACCGCTGCTGTTGGAGTGGCGATCTGTCGTTCACCGGATCCCTCCACCAATTCTGGTCGGCGGCTGTTGTTGGTGGTCGCCCCTTCAGGGCTCCTCTCCCTGGTGGAGAAGCACAACTCGAGTAGGCGACGAAGCTCCCTGACATCTTCCTTGACTTCTCTCACTTCCGCGTGGTTCTCCACGAGTCGGTGTTCCAATTCGTGGACCCTGGATGATAGCTGCTCCATATCGCCATGACGTTTGGCTCTGATACCAAAATGTTATGGGCCCGGGCGTAGGATCTCGTCACGGGTCGGTCCACGGGGAGAACCTCTAGCTTCYCCTTGCCCCTCCCTTTGCGTGCAGACCCTATCGTGGCGAACTAAGGGTGATTTGTTCAAGAGATCACCCTAACTCTCCTAAACTCTTTCTTGACTGAAAATTGAATCCTTTATTCTCAATTTGCAGCTCCTCAAATAGGAGATTACAGGAGGTGTGGGAAGATGCCCAGTAGAATTTGACTACTCACAGATAAGGATAAATCACACTTTTAAGATCAAACAGACTCCTACTTCTAATAGGTAAATCAAACTCTAGAAGATAAGGAAAACTACTAAGAATAAGATAAGATGAGCTGAGAACTGATGAGATAAGCTGCCGCCTTGTGGGCTCCTCCTCACTGCTGCTGTCAGCGGCTGTATGTCCTCCCTACGAACGCATCCACAACAAGGGGGGTTAGGAGGAGGATGAAGAGGAAGGGGGGATTTCATTTTTTTCTTTATTTTTAATAAAAATATTTTATATTAAAAAGAATAAATATGCATACCACTTTCTTTCCCCTTATCTTTTCTTCCCTTCCCTTCCCTTCCCTTCCCTTCCCTTTTCTTTTCTTTCATTTTCTCTTTTTTTCTTTTTCTTTCCCTTCCCTTTCCTTTTTTTTTCTTTTTTCTTTTCTTTTTTGTCTTTTTTATAAGATGTGCATGAGGCGCATAAGGTGTACGCCTCATGAAAAAAGTGCATGAGGCGTACGCTTCAAAGGTGTCAGCGCCTCTGGCATACGCCTCGGGGCATTTTGGGAGTGCCTCCAGGCGTATGCCTCCCATGCCTTTTAAAACACTGATCCATACATCATAACTAAAGCTAATTGTGCTAAAGGAGAGAGAAAAACTAAAGTAATCTAATGTATAAATTAAATGAAACTGAAATAAGAGTGATAAAAATTGAAATAAGAAAAGTGGCCTGTAGTAAAATCTTTAAGGGGTATTAGTTTACAACCATGCATTAAGCATAGTTTTCAAGGCGCCAAGGCGAGGCTAGCCGACAGGGGGGTGCCTTGTCGCCTAGGCAGGCGCCTAGGTGATGCCTATTTTTTTATGCAAAAATCATGTATCCTAGGGTAGTTGGCGCCAAGGTGAGGCTAGGCGACAGGGGGGCGCCTTGTCGCCTAGGTGACGCCTATTTTTTTATGCAAAAATCATGTATCCTAGGGTAGTTCCTTTTGCTCCATCACCAACTTTCTTTAATAACCATCCATAATTTTCGTAAGAAAATTATAAACTTCATGTTTAAGTCTAGAAAATCAACATATTTAGGAGAAGAAAAAGAAGAAAAGAAAGAAAATTCAAAAAATATAGGGGCTGAACCCCTATTTTTGTTATAGGAAAAGAAGAAAAGAAAAAGTGGAAGAAGAAGAAGAAGAAGAAATGTCTTGATTAGAAATTTATCAAAAAAAAAAGTGTTGATTAGACAAAATTTTAAGTTCTTCCCTTAATTATTGGTTCAGATTTTGAAGTCATTGAGGGTTCAATACAGCAGTTAGCAATGTTTGTGTTGATAAGCCCTGATAAATAAGAAAATAATAAAAAGAAATTAGTTTATAAACACAAAAAAATATTTTTCTTTAATAATGTCTATTTTATAATTACAATCTCAAAAAATAACAATATAAAAATATTTTATTACACAGTATGCAAAACTGCTTGGCAACTGGGCGAGGCAAGCCTCCAAGGGTGCCTTGTCACCTAGGTGTCGCCTTGACAACTATGGCGTTAAGGCATTGTTTCATGAAAGAAATAAACTGATCACGTTGGTGGACTGAAAGCATTATTTTCAATGAAACAAGTTTTGATTGTTGTAGCCTTGGCAAACCTAGAAATGCAGGAAGGAGGAAATGAGAGTTTTTGGGAGATTTTTTTTTTGGTAGTTTTTGGGAGATTTTTTGAACAAATGAGAGTTGACTTGGCTAAATTGGGTTCTGCCTCGATGCTTTTTCGTGGTTAGGAATTACACTTATGCTAATGTTACTTGATGATGTTGACACATTAACAAATGGCATGCAATCCTTTGTAAATTGCAGAAATAGGATCTTAAGTCTGCTTCTTGGTTTACTCTTGTGAGCTTGCTTTGTCACATGTTAGGTTAATACCTCAGCATTGATGACCAATATAGTTGGTGTCCTTGTTGGATTGGGTTAAATGATTCACTCGGCCCTCCATTTAAGAGAGCTAGTTGAAACTATTTGAAATATTAACGTGATGCTTGCCTTTCTAGTTACAGGAAGTATGAAGTGTTGAAAATGTCAGCCCTGTACATTGAGAAATATCAACAAAAAAATTTTGAGGCATTATTCATTAGGTGGATAGCTGCTGGCATCCATTTATTATTCAATTATCATCATCTTAATAATCTATTTTCCAAAATAACCATGACCTTAGTAGTCAGAATGTAGTACCTGAATGTCTGTCTTTTTCTAGGTCAAGTGTCTTGGAGAAGGAAGAGTGGAAGACAATCATTGACTTGGTTGCAAATGCAAAGCAGGTTGTCTCTTCAGTACAAGATGTGGCTCGGAAACTTGCTGATTATGCCAATTTTAGAAGCAAGACCAATGATTCTGGTAAGTAGAAAGGCTTGCATTATCATTTTTGCCATGGGAAAATAAGTTAACCTTGTGTAAGCTTTTTAGCAATGTTATTTTACACTGTTAATGATTTATATGGTGCTTTAACATTCTTACTATGCTGTCATTCTAACATGGGAATGGGACAGTATGCAATCCAATGATATCTACATTAGGATCTAGGCATTCAAATGGATATATTCTTAAATAAATATGCAAATTGATAGTTGACTGTTGAATATCGAAGGTAGGACTCATGGAATTGATAGTGCCAGCCCTTTGAGATGTAAGCCAATTTCTGCTTGTAACCAGGACCTATTTAATCATCTAGATATAAATCCATACAGTGAAATAGTAAAATGCAAAATCCATATAAGCATATCCAAATATCAAGATGAACATATTGTTCTATTACCCATATCTGTGCCTGATACCCTAGTCAAGCAGTTTATTTCGGCCCTTTTTTTATTTGGGAGAAATGAGCCTGAGGACTTGGTGTGTTATACCTCTATTTATATTGTCATTTCTGATTCTCTCTCTATCTCTCTCTGTATGTTGATAGGTGGAGTTTGTGTGTTGGTTCCATCCTGTTTTTGTCTCCCCTCATGCAAGTCTCTGTTGGATTTAGAGCCTGTTTGTTTTTGGATTTTAAGAGGGGGGAAAGTTGGCCAATGGGATTTTGGTTCCCATTGACCAATGTATCCATCTCCCAGGTGGGCAAATAATTTTCCCACTTGGGGGGAAAGTTGCCAACACTTGGATGGGATAAAATTGCCCCTTTTAATAATGGTTTTTTATGGCTAAAACGGTCATTATCTTATTTACCTGGGAAATAAAAGAACATAGGTAAATGTACTTACCCGGGTAAGTATTTTTTTGAAGATAAATAAAAAATAAACTTTATAAAGCGAATGGGGCCTTAAGGGTATCTGTATCTCCCTTTTATATTCGTCTTTATGAATAAACTGCTTTTGATGGTGTGGCATCAATTAGAAGGGGAAAAAAAATAATAGATGGCTGATTCTTCTCACATGTCCTTTGATTGCAAAATTTGCTGGTTGTTGTCAGATGTTTCCATCAGGAAAATATCATCTACTGTTGCCAAAGTCCCTTCAACCCCAAAGCCTGCAACAAGCAGTAATGCAATTGTTAAACAGGATAAAACCACAGCACCTGAGGAGTTGTTTGTACCTGGGACGATGTATTATCTTAAGAGGAATGTAGATAAAGGTAGTGGAAGCAGCGGCAGTAAAAGCAATGAATCCTTCTCTCTCTGGAAGAGGCATGCAGGTGAACATTTTCAGAGGATCATCCTATCCAGCAACTTGATTTCAGATCATAAGTGTGATAGCCACTACTATGCTCTCAGGGACGTGCTCAAGGGCTTGCCAGCTCACAATCATGAAAGCATCTATTGAAAGATCAAAGACGGTTGTACATATGTTCTCTTAATTTTTTGTAAGCAATGAGTACTTTTAAATTTGGGTCTCCATAATTAACACCAAAGTTTGTTTGTATATTATTGATGGACGTTGGGCATTGTTTGGTGATCGATGCCACAATTCGTTCAAATAATGTAAAAGGGGATTGGTAGCATCTATTCTATGTTCTAAAACCACATGTTCTTCCAAAAGAAAAAATGATGATCGTTGGGCATTGATTGAGCATCAAAGCCCAGCAAACTTTAATCAAAATGATTTATAATCAACAATTCCAGGAGTCTAGAACATTAGACATCACATAATAACTTTACTGGTAATACATTCAACAAGTTTGAGCTTTCAGTCAACTAAAACTTTATTACAAGACACATTATATTGTTTTGAGACCAATGAGTTTAATAGATCATTGATAGGTCCATCTTATGGTATTTTCCTACTATAAAAAATCATTATATATATAATAAATTATTTTTAAAATTTTTGAATTTCTTCTAAAAAATTAAGAAAAAGTATTGTTTTTAACATAAATAGCTGTTAGATCAATGAATTTAATAGATCAATAATAGATACATCTTATAGTTCTTTCCTGCTATAGGAATATCATTTTAACATTTAAACTTATTCTTTTTATAAATTTTGGATATTGTCCAACTTTTGGGGAAAAATCCATACATCTAACAGTACAAGCTTAAAACATGCATAACAGATACAATAAACTAACAAATTTGTGTATTTCAAACATCAAAACATGTAGATTTACTAAATATTGGAGGATTAAATGAGAAGAAAAGGAGATGTACTTTTTTTTTATTTGAGTTGATTTTCTTTAATGAAAAAATGGCGAAGATCTACCACATGCCATTCATCTGTGATACCAATATGACATGTCATGTATTGGTCATATCTCATGAACACTTGAACCTGGTGAAGTCCATGTAATGATCAGTTTGGGTCAAGGGAGGATTGGCTAGTAGGACTATGAATAGAGTTCAAAAGTTTAAAACCTAATATGACATCCAATTCAATTATTTTGGATTCAGATATATGTTTACACAATTTGATAGATTCAAAATTTGAAAATTCCATCATCTTCCTATCTATATCAAAAAAAGCACTTTAATAATCAGATTTTTTGATAGATAAAATAAAAATAGAACTATAAAGGAAACTGACCATACAAGAGTCCTCAAAAGAAAAAAATAAATAAATAAATAAAGAGGAGACCCTAACCAACACTTTAATCCTCTTCAAAAGATTTAGCTTGTTTTTCCATCTCATGAGCTAAGCTATTCCTAGACCTTGAAATGTGTTTAAACACAGCCTTGGTAAAATATTTACAAGAGAACTTAATAAGTTCATATTATCCACAAAACGAGAGCAAGTCCAAGAAACAACATTAGCATCCCCCTCCAAAATAGAAGCAGTTAAAAGAGAATCGGAGAGTACAGTAAAATTTCTAAAATCCTGACTCTTTAGTAAACAAAATAGCCTCCACGGTAGCCTTCAGCTCCATCTCTAAAACGGCCCTTAAAGTATATTTTCTTTAACAGCCACAAAACACCCCAAATTAGATGACAGACAAAACCATAAAATCCCATCTCCCCATCAATACGACTTCATATCAGAATTCTTCCCTCAACAAAATAAACATTATTGAAAAGATGATTTAACTTTTCTAAATAGCAATATCTAAATTGCACTTAACACCCCCTTAGGCTGCGTTTGGAAACGATGCAAATAGAGTGTAAATCTCGGTTCAGGGTAAATTTGCACTCCGGTTCACTTTTGCCTGTTGATGAGGGCAGATTTGGCCCTCCAGTGAAATTGCGACACGTGGCACCTCGTGACAACTAGGCAAGCACCCAGGCAAAAACTTACCAAGTTGGTGTCCCCCCCGGGCACCGGTCTGGCTGGCCTGGCGCGACCTGCGCGACCTGGCCGGATCAGC